ACTGCACTCCAGCCTGGGCAACACAGCGAAACTCCGTCTCCAAAAAAAAAAAAAAAATGAAAAATAGCATTTTCGACTGGAAGTTGCCTGGAGTTTCTGAATAACTGAGTATAGCAATCAAGTTAGACAGGGTTAGTTAATATCAGGCTTACTTTACTTACTTTACTTGTTTGGGGATGGCTGTGTAAATGAAACTGACTTTGCAAAATTAAAACTGAGGAAATTACGACAGTGAAAGGAATCAGACCTAATCGACACTATCTTGCTTCTAAGCGGTTCCACTCGTCTCACCTGAGGTACCCCCACTACGCCCCCTCTCAGCAGGAAGAAGCCAGAGCAATCGACAGGCTTTTCCCATCTTCATAGCCCACACCTTAAGATTAAGGTGTTATAAAACCCAAAGGGAGGAACTGAAGCCGCCTTTGCAAAATTATACCTGAGGAAATTATGAAAGTGAAAGAAGTCAGACCTAACTGACTCCATCTTGCTTCCAACTTTGAAGCTGTCCTTGTGGATTCCTGGGTGTAGGCCAAACTAACTTTGGGAAGGAATTCAGTTCATGGTTTGACTCTGAAACAAAATTGATAACAGCCCTTTCCCAGTAAGACCTCCTTCTTGCCTGGGGACCAGTCTGTCTTTGCAGGGCTAACAAATTAGCTACAAGATTAGAAATTACAGTTTAGGGGTCATGCAGCCTCTGGCTCCAAGAGTCTGAACGTCCTCAAATTGCTCCTGGGGATAGTATCACTATAGTAAAACCTAAAATCAGTGCCTGAGATGTTTTCAGACCCTGCATTCAGTGGATCAGCTGACATCACCCAGACCAGTAATCTGGCTCAACCAGTTCTGCCATCCCGCCCGGGAGGAGGAAGACAGCAAGAAAACCTCACTTTGACCATCTATGACTCCATCTCCAACCTGACCAATCAGCACTCCCCACTTCCCAAGCCCCTACCTGCCAAATTATCTTTAAAAACTCTGATTTCCAAATGCTCAGGGAGACTGATGTAAGTAACAATAAAACTCCAGTCTCCCGCACAGCTGGCTCTGCGTGAGTTACTCTTTCTTCATTGCAATTCCCCTGTCTTGATAAATCGGCTCTGTCTAAGCAGCAGGCAAGGTGAACCCATTGGGTGGTTACAAAAACACAATTTTTATTCTAGCTTTCTTGGTACAATTCCTTTTGTTAATCTCGGTGTTTCAACTGAATTTGGAGGGAGGGCTTGGCTAGAGAAATAGAGCGGGGAGGAAGGAATAATTTTACAAGAGAAAGAGAGCCTAACTACGGAAATCAGAACACCTGGAAGTAATCCCGCATCATTTGAGCAAAGGAAATATATCGTAACAGGGGTAGTGAATGAGATCAACCCTGAGGGTAAGTGAGTCTAAAATAGTGCTGCTGCCGGCCACACGTTGAACCCGGCACTTCCTTGTTGCAGCTCTAGAGAAAACAGTGTGTTAAGAAATAAGTACTCAGACCAGGTGCGGTGGCTCAGGCCTATAATCCCAACACTTTGGGAGACTGAAGTGAGAGAGCCCAGGAATTCAAGACCAGCCTGGGCAACAAGGTGAGACCCCCTATCTCTACAAAAAATAAAATAATTAGCCAGGTGTGGTAGTGCACACTTGTGGTCCCAGCTACTGGGGAGACTGAGGTGGGAAGATTACTTGAACCCGGGGCAGAGTCAAAGCTGCAGTGAGCCATGACTGTGCCACTGCACTCCAGCCTAGGCGACAGAATGAGACCTTGTCTTAAAATGTTAAAAAAAAAAAAAAAAAAGTAAGAAATAAGTACTCAACATTATACTGAACTCCTACAAAAGAAAAGCTACAGGTGATGGGAAGAAGGAACTAAAAGGAAATCTATATTGGGAAGGAGAGTAGCATGTTAGGGCATTACTAAAGAAAGCAGGGTGTCTGGGAGATAAGTATCTCAGAAGCATGTAGAAATGACACGTGTTCCAACTTGAGATCAAACCTATTAAAAGGCTTATGATTCCAGGGATGGGGAGTCCAAGGAAAAGTCAAATATTCGCTAAATGTTGCTACCTTTTAACCTTTGGCATATATTTATTTAATGTTGCCTTAAGATAATTACCTATTTTGTAAATTATTTTGCCTCATAGAAACAGAGGGGAAGCGGACATTCTCCTTTTTGCCTTAAAAAACAAAAACAAAAACAAAACAAAACAAAAAAAACTTTTTTCAGTCCTGAAGAGAAGCTCTTGAAGTTTGTGAAAACTCTTAAAATGAAAGGAGGCTGAGCTACAGCTCTTGTCTGTAATCCCAGCACTTTGGGAGGCTGAGGTGGGTGGAACACTTGAGGTCAGGAGTTTGAGACCAGCCTGGCCAACATGGTGTAACCCTGTTTTTACTAAAAACACAAAAATTAGCCCGGCGTGGTGGCGCGTGCCTGTAATCCCAGCTACCCAGGAGGCTGAGGCAGGAGAATCGCTTGAACCCAGGACGCGGAGGTTACAGTGAGCTGAGGTCACGCCACTGCACTCCAGCCTGGGCCACAGAGCGAGACTCTGTCTCTAAATAAATAAATAAAATAAAATGGCAAGGAGAGTAACCATCTCTCAAGAACCTGATTGATGTGTAGATACTGAAGCTGAGAACTGGTTACCTCTGCTTATTCCTAGGCTGATTTAGGCTAGCTTGCTGAGGCTAGTCCAGCACTTCGAGTCCCACACGCACGGCAGTCTCCAACCCAGAGGGCCTCGCCTTGCCAAACCCAGGCTGAGAGGACTTCCGCCTTGGAGAGAATCTCTCATCCTTTTCCCTATTCTCTCAGTCTGCACCACTCCCTTTCCTCCTCCCAACTCACCTTGTCATTCACTGGAACAAAGTTGCTATCCATGGTGACAATGCGGAAATACACTGGAAGGGAACAGGCATCGTTAGCAAAGGGCTGTTTCCTGGCTCAGAATTTTCTTTTTTTTTTTTTTTTTTTGAAACAGGGTCTCACTCTGTCACCCAGGTTGGAGTGCAGTGGCACAACCATGGCTCACTGCAGCCTCAAACTCCTGGGGTCACCCCAGCCTCCGGAGTAGCTGGGACCACAGGCAGGCGCCACCACACTCGGCTAATTTTTGTAGAGACAGGGTTTCACCATGTCGGTCAGGCTGGTCTTGAACTCCTGACCTCAGGTGACCCACCTGCCTTTGGCCTCCCAAAGTGCTGGGATTGTAGGCGTGAGCCACCGCACCCAGCCTCGTGCTCAGAATCTTTCCTCCATCCCTCCTCCTTCCTCACACGTGCTTTGAGTCAGCAAAACCCCAACAGGTTTTACTTTTTTACAAAACCTACTCTGAGAGTGAGGTAAAGCCCAAACACAGGCCTGGAGCTCAGGAGGCAGAGCAAGAGGCAGAATAGAAGTCTCCACTGACCACCCTCCTCATCCCCCACAGGAACACCAGACTGAACAACTGTCCACACAAAACAGCACCGTCATAAGAACCAAAAATCAGGTGAGTGGTTTTAACTTTATATCACTGAAAGAGGCACTGAAGAGGGTAGAAAAGACACACTTGAATTGCTGATACACCCCCCGCCCCCATCCCCCAGCAGTGACTGTGTGGCACAGAGACAGAATCGATGAACTTGAGGGAGGGAGAGCACTTCAGTGACTGTGGGACTTGGCATTGGAACTCAGTGCTGCTCCATCACAGGGGAAAGCACACAGGGCGGAACTCAGCCACCGTCCATGGAGGGAGCGTTTAGACCAGCCTCAGCCAGCGGTGAATGGCCCGTCCCAGCAGTTGGGAGCTGAGGTCTGATTAGCCCCTGGGGCTCCGAATAGTCAGCAGTGATAGCTGCGCGGTACTTGTCATGGACCTTGGGTGAGACTCAGAGACACCCTGGCTTCCAGTGGTTCAGCACGTTCCCAGCTGTGGTGACTATGGGGAGGGGCTCCTTCTACTCGAGAAAAGGAGAGGGAAGAGTCAAGGGGACTTCGCTTGTAGCTTAGGTAGCAGCTCAGCCACAGTGGGGTAGAGTACCAAGCAGGCCCTTGGGGTCCGCAGTTACAGGCTGTGGCCCTTGGATGGCATTTCTGGACCTGCTGTTGGTCAGACGAGCGCTTACTGCTCTGAAAAAAGAGTCCCAGGCCAGGCACCATCACCACCAGCTGACTAAGAGCCCTTGAGCCTCGAGAGAACACTAGAAGTATCCGGGCAGTACTCGTCGTGGGCCTGGAGTAGTGGTGGCCACAGGGAGAGACTCCTCTGTGGAAAGGGGAAGGAAGAGTGGGAAGGACTTTGTCTTGTGGCTTTGGTGTCAACTCAGCTGCAGTAGAACAGAACACCAGGTAGATTCCTCAGGTTTCTGATTCTAGGCCCTGGCTAGCAGATAACATCTCTGGACCTTCCCAGGGTCATGGGGAACTCACCACCCTGAAGGGGAGGACAACAAGCGTGGCTGGCTTTGTCACCTGCTGACGGTAGAGCCCTAGGGCCTTGAGCAAACACAGGCAGTAGCCAGGTACTGGTTACCACAGGCCTTGGGTGAGACACAGGACAGTGCTGGCTTCAGATATGACCCAATGCAGTCCCAATACTGGTGGCCACAGGGGTGCTTGTGTCACCCCTCTCTCCAGGCAGCTCAGCACAAAGAGAGAAACTCTGTTTGTTTTGGAGAAAGTAAGGGAAGAGAACAAGAATCTCCACTTGGTAATCTGGAATTCTTCCAGATCTTATCCAAGACCATCAAGGAGGTACCTCTATGAGCCTTCAAGAGCCACAGAGATACTGAGCATGGGGTCCTCCCTAATGCAGATGCACTGCAGAGTCCAGAAACTTAGATTGCAACACCCAGGGCCCTTCAAATACCTGGAAAGTCTGCCCAAGAAGGACAGGTACAAACAAGTCCAGAATACAAAGACTACAATAAATACCTAACTCTTCAATGCTCAGACACCAATGAACATCCACATCAAGACCATCTTGGAGGCCGGGCGCGGTGGCTCAAGCCTGTAATCCCAGCACTCTGGGAGGCCGAGATGGGCGGATCACAAGGTCAGGAGATCAAGACCATCCTGGCTAACACGATGAAACCCCATGTCTACTAAAAAATACAAAAAACTAGCCGGGTGCGGTGGCGGGCGCCTGTAGTCCCAGCTACCTGGGAGGCTGAGGCAGGAGAATGGCATGAACCCGGGAGGCGGAGCTTGCAGTAAGCGGAGATCGCGCCACTGCACTCCAGCCTGGGCGACAGAGAGAGACTCTGTCTCAAAAAAAAAAAAAAAAAAAAAGGCCATCTTGGAAAAAATTACCTCACCAGGTGAACTAAATAAGGCACCAGCAACCAATCTCGGAGAAACAAAGAGAGTGATCTTTCAGATCAAGAATTCAAAATAGCTGTTTTGAGGAAACTCAATAAAGTTTTAGATAACACAGAGAAGGAATTCAGAATCCTATCAGATAAATTTAACAAAGAGATTGAAATAATATTGAAAAATCTAGCAGAAATTGTGGAGCTGAAAAAAATCAATTCACATACTGACCAACGCATTAGAGTATCTTAACAGTAGAATAGATCAAGCAGAAGAAAGAATTAATAAGCTTGAAGACAGGCTTTTTAGAAATACACAGTCAGGCTGCACCTGGTGACTCACACCTGTAATCCCAACACTTTGGGAGACCAGGGCGGGCAGATTACCTGAAGTCAGGAGTTCAAGACCAACCTGGCCTCAAAACCCCATCTCTACTAAAAATACAAAAATTAGCTGGGCCATAGTGGCACGCATCTGTAATTCTAGCTACTCAGGAGGCTGAGGCAGGAGAATCCCGGGAGGTGGAGGTTGCAGTGAACCAAGATCGCGCCACTGCACTCCAGCCTGGGTGACAGAGGGAGATCCTGTCTCAAAAAGCAAAGAAAAAAAAAAAAAAAGACCAATCTGGCCAACATAGTGAAACCCTATCTCTACTAAAAATACAAAAATGTGGCTGCGTGTGGTGGCTTACATGTGTAATCCCAGCACTTTGGGAGGCAGAGGCAAGGCAGGTGGATCACCTGAGGTTAGGAGTTTGAGACCAGCCTGGCCAACATGGTGAAACCCTGTCTTAAAAGTACAATAATTAGCTGGGCATGGTGTCGGGCGTCTGTAATCCCAGCTACTTGGAAGGCTGAGGCAGAAGAATTGCTTGAACCCAAGAGACGGAGGTTGTAGTGAGCTGAGATTGCGCCACTGTACTCCATCCTGGGCGATAGAGTGAAACTCCTTTTCAAAACAAAACAAATAAAAATACCCAGTCATGGGAGAAAAAAGAAAAAGGAATGAAGCATGCCTACAAGATCTATAAATATAGCCTCAAAAGGGCAAATCTAAGAGGTATTGAATTTTGGCCGGGCACAGTGACTCACACCTGTAATCCCAGCACTTTGGAAAGCTGAGGCAGGTGGATCACCTGAGGTTGGGAGTTCAAGACCAGCCTGGCCAACATGGAGAAACCCCGTCTCTACTAAAAATACAAAATTAGCCAGGCATGGTGGTGCAGGCCTGTAATCCCAGCTACTCGGGAGGCTGAGGCAGGAGAATCACTTGAACCTGGGAGGCAGAGGTTGCGGTGAGCCGAGATCGCGCCATTGCATTCCAGCCTGGGGAACGAGAGTGAAACTCCGTCTCAAAAAAAAAAAAAAAAAAAAAGAGGTATTGACTTTAAAGAGGAAGTAGAGAGAGAAATGAGATGGAAAGTTTATTCAAAGTGAAAATAACAGAGAACTTTCCAAACCTAGAGAAAGATTATTATAATTATTATTATTTGAGATAGTCTTGCTCTGTTGCCCAGGTTGGAGTGCAGTAGTGTGCTCTTGGCTCACTGTGACCTCCACTTCCCTGGTTCAAGTGATTCTCCTGCCTCAGCCTCCCCAGTAGCTGGGATTACAGGCATGGGCCACCATGCTTGGCTAATTTGGTATTTTTAGTAGAGACGGGGTTTTGCCATGTTGGCCAGGCTGGTCTCGAACTACTCACCTCAGGTGATTTGCCCACCTCAGCCTCCCAAAGTGCTGGGATTACAAGCATGAGCCACCAAGCCCAACTGAGAAAGATATCAATATTAAGTACAAAAAGATTGTAGAACACCAAGCAGATTTAACCCAAATGAGTCTACCTCAAGACGTTTAATAATCAAACTCCAAAACATCAAGGAATTTAAAAAAATCCTAAAAGTGCAAAACAATAGACGTGGTGGCTTACGCATGTAATCCCAGCACTCTGGGAGGCCGAGTGGGGAGGATAACTTGAGGTCAGGAGTTGGAGATGAGCCTGGCCAACATGGTGAAACCCTGTCTCTACTAAAAATACAAAAATTAGCCAGGCATGGTGGTGCTCACCTTTAATCCCAGCTACTCAGGAGGCTGAGTCAGGAGAATCACTTGAACCCAGAAGGCAGAGGCTGCAGTGAGCAGCCATTTATTACATTCCAGCGTGGGCAACAGAATGTGACTCCATCTCAAAAAAACAAAACAAACAAAAGCAAAAATTAGCCAGGCATGGTGGTGCACCCCTGTACTCCCAGCTACTCGGGATGTTGAAGCACAAGAATCGCTTGAACCCAGGAGGCGGAGGTTGCAGTAAGCCGTGATCCCACCACTGCACTCCAGAGCCTGGGCAACAGAGGGAGACGCTGTCTCAAAAACAAAAAACATTCAGTAACATTTCTATATGCCAACAGGGAACAATCTGCAAAATAAATTAAGAAAGATAATCCCATTTACAATAGCTATAAATAATATAAAATACCTAGGAATAAACTTTACCAAATAAGTGAAAGATCTCAACAATAAAAACTATAAAATACTGATGAAAGAGATGGAAGAGGATGCACAAAAACATGAAAAAAGATTTCATGTTTCTGGATTGGAATAATTGATATTGTTAAAAGTCCATATGACCTAGGGCAATCTACAGATTCAATGCAATCCCTATCAGATACCAATGACATTCTTCACCGAAATTCTACAACCTAAATTTTAGGAATATTGTAAAAAACAATTGTAAGGCCGGGTGCGGTGGCTCAAGCCTATAATCCCAGCACTTTGGGAGGCCGAGACGGGCAGATCACCAGGACAGGAGATCGAGACCATCCTGGCTAACACGGTGAAACCCCGTCTCTACTAAAAAATACAAAAAAACTAGCCGGGCAAGGTGGCAGGCACCTGTAGTCCCAGCTACTCGGGAGGCTGAGGCAGGAGAATGGCGTAAACCTGGGAGGCGGAGCTTGCAGCGAGCTGAGATCCGGCCACTGCACTCCAGCCTGGGGGACAGAGCGAGACTCTATCTCAAAAAAAAAAAAAAATTGTAAAATTTTTATGGAACCACAAAAGACCTAAAATAGCCAAATCTATTCTGAACAAAAAGAACAAAACTTGAAGAATCACATTATGTGACTTCAAATTATACTGCAAAGCTATAGTAACCAAAACAGCATGGTACTGGAATAAAAACAAACACATAGACGAATGGAACAGAATAGAGAACCCAGAAACAAATCCACACGTCTACAGTGAACTCATTTTTGATAAAGGTGACAAGAGTATACACTGGAGAAAGGACAGGCTGTTCAATAAATGGTGCTGGGAAAACTGGATATCCATATGCAGAAGAATGAAACTAGACCCTCATCTCTCTCCATATAGAAAAATCAAGTCAAAATGGATGAAAGATTTAAATCTAATACCTCAATCTATGAAACTATTATAATATAAGAAAACCTTGGGGAAACTCTCCAGAACACTGGTCTGGGCAAAGATTTCTTGAGTAATACCCAAGGATCACAGGAAACCAAAGCAAAAATGGACAAACAGGATCACATCAAGTTAAAAAACTTCTGCACAGCAAAGGAAACAATCAACAAAGAGACAACCCACAGAATGAAAGAAAATATTTGCACACTGCCCATCTGACAAGGGATTAACAACTAGAATATATAAGGAGCTCAAACAGTTCTATGGGAAAACATCTAGTAATTAGATTAAAGAATGGGCAAAAAGATCTGAATAGACATTTCTCAAAAGACGACATACAAATGGCAAACAGGTATATAAAAAAGGTGCTCAAATCATTGACTGTCAGAGAAATGTAAATCAAAACTACAATGAGATATTATTTCTTCCCAGTTAAAATGGCTTTTTTTCCAAAAGACAAACAATAATAAATGCTGGTGAGGATGCGGAGAAAAGAGAACCCACATACACTGTTGGCAGGAATGTAAATTAGGACAACCACTATGGAGAACAGTTTGGAGGTTTCTGAAAAAAACTAAAAATAGAGCTTCTGTATAATCCTGCAATCCCACTGCTAAGTATATATCCAAAAGAAAGGAAATCAGTATATCAAAGAGCTGTCTGCACTCCCATGTTTATTGCATCAGTTTTCACAATAGCCAAGATATGGAAGCAACTAAGTGTCTATGAACAGATGATAAAAAATGTATTAAAAATGTGGTACACATACATAATGGAGTACTATTCACCCATAAAAAAGAATGAGACCCCGTCCTTTGCAACAGCATGAATGGAACAGGAGGTCATTATGTTAAGTAAAATAAACCAGACACAGAAAGACAAATTTTGCATGTTCTCACTTATTTGTGGGAGCTAAAAATTAAAACAATTGAACTCTTGGAGATAGAGAAGAGAATGATAATTTTCAAGTGTGTGGAAAAAATAAGGTAAAAGGAAAAAAAAAAAAGAGAGAGAGAGAGAGAACAGAACGATAGTTACCAGATGCTGGGAAGAGTAGTGGTGGGCAGGGTGAGGGGTGGGGTGGGAATGGTTAATGGGTACAAAAATATAGTTAGATAGAATGAATAAGATCTAGAAATCTTGTAGTTTTTAGCACAATAGGGTGACTACAGTCAACAATAATTTATTGCACATTTAAAAATTACTAAGAGTATAATTGGAGTGTTTGTAATACAAGGAAATGATAAATGCTTGAGGTGATGGATACACGTGTACCCTGATGTAATGATTACACATTGCATGTGTGTATCAAAATATCTCATCTACCCCATAAATATATATACACCAGCTATGTACCCACAAAAATTTTAAATTAAAAAAAAAAACCCAAACATAGTTTCTCTTCAGGGTGCCTGACTTTGAAATCTCAGAATGAAGTGCCCCTGTAAGGAAGAATGAACAAATACAAAAAAAAAAAAAAAAAAAAAAAAACCAAACCAGTAGCTCAAGCCAAATGCCCTCAGTGCTTTCTTAGCCATTTACAAGCAGCTTGTTGCAAGGCCCAGCAACCCAATTATACTTGCCAAATTCTATTCCAGAAGAAATGTGTACTTTTGATTTAGATACACACACACAGTAGCAACCCCCACCTACTTCTCTTGCTTGTGTAACGCAGCATGTATTCAACACCTGTAATACTTAATCCCCCAGATTTTCCTCTCTTCTGCACTCCTTGTTTCTTAAGCCTCCTATCAAACCACAAATGCCCTCTTTACCCCTGTGCACAGCGGTTTCCCCAGTTTTCAGTCAAACCCCAAATATGTGATTCCTACCTTGCTGCCCTGGGGTGTAGATAGGTTTGTCAGTCTGTACGAAGGTGCCACTCCCCTGTCTCTGAATTAGAACCTTTTTCTTCTCCTCAAAGCTGATGTTATTTCCAACTCCTGACACCCGGATTGTGGCCACTTCTTCTGTGCCACCAGCAGGAGGTGGTACCTGACCAAGAAAGGGGACTTCTGGGGCGGAGTAAGGGATTGGGGGAACAGAATCAACTGGTCTTAACCCAACAGTGAGTAAAAGGAAGGAGTTGCGTTAGATGGGGGTAGCAAGGACAGAGACATAAAACAAATTACCAGGAGGAAGAATTAAGATCAGGAACTAAAGGGAGAAATCCAAGGTCAAGGAAATTGTGGGTGAGTTATAGCTGGGGATTGAGGTTAAGTTGAGAAAAAATAGGTTTAGAGGCCGTGGCAAAGGAAAACAGAAATTATGCTTAAAGTAGATTATATTGAGCCTAGGGAGAAGAATAGGCAAGTAAGGGATTAGAGTTAAAGCAAAGGAGAACAGGCAAGTAAGGGATTCGAGTTAGGGCTGAGTCTGTGCTTACGAGAAAGGAGATACAATGTAAGTGCCTCTTCTTCAATCCAGAGTGTTCTAGCAACTTCTGGGTCTTGTCCTTGGTCTCCAGAGTAACCGTGAATTTAACATCACAGTACCCAGGGCTCAGATCCAAACAAACCTTCTGAACGGAGGGGAAGTTTAGCTGGGCTGGTAATGTCACCAGGTAGTTTCTATGAAAGGAACAGAAGGATTTCAGGGCAATAATGATTCATTCACGTCAGGAAAAATTAAGTCCTCTCCTAAGCGCTCAGCACGTAGCAGCGAATTAGACAGACCAAGCTGCTGCCTTCCTTATGCAGCTCATTTTCTACAAGAAGCAGAGAAACAACAACGCAGTGCACAGTCTTAAACTTCCACCATCAGGAGGCCCTCACCGAGAACACACGCCTAAAGCACCAAGGAGGAAATCAGGCCTATTTCAGAAAACAGGGTACGTTTTAATATTTCTCTTTTTTAAGGCTTCCTCTTCATCCCTCAGCCTTCCTCTCTGGGTAAAGGATCCGTGGAAGCAAAGAAGAGAAAAAAGGAGGAGGAAATTAAGATAAACCAAAGCGTATCTCCCCATCTCCATATAAATGTTTGAGAAAGTTTGGCAAAGAAGCCAGTGCCCTAATAAACCAATTCTGACACCAAGCACTCACGGAAGTTCTTCTGCAATGGCTGGCGATAGGGCCAACATTCCTAGAAGGAGATGAACCCACATCTTTGTGGGTGAGACAGATTTTCCAGGGTCGGGACCAGAGATCCGCTCTGCGTAGCTTTATATACTAACTCCAGGTAGGGTGTGCAGCGATGACTGATGCTGTAGTCAGTCACCTCCTGGCACCGGGGACACAGGAGGACTGTGTTCCTCCTTCTCTAACCGCTGGCTTAGGTGGTGGACCAGGGTAGGGCCACTATTCACTTCTTTAAAGTTGTTTCTCCCTGGAACATCTGTACTGGTTCAGCCAGTTTTGGGGGAAAACCAGAGCTGAGTATTCATAATGGTAAAGCTCTCAGAACATAGTTTGAACTCCTCCCTTTTTTTCTGGTTTCATTCCAATTCCTGTTCTCATTTAATGTCCTTATTTTCTTTTCTTATTCAATTAAGGTGTAGTTGGGAACACGGGTATGAGAACAGTATCAATAGAAAAGCAATAAACTTGGCCAGTCACGGTGGCTCACGCCTGTAATCCCAGCACTTTGGGAGGTTCAGGTGGGCGGATCACGAGGTTAAGAGTTCAAGACCAGCCTGGTCAACACAGTGAAACCTGTCTCTACT